GACCTGAACATTAGGTCCTATCCAACAAGAAGCAGTTCAGTGATGAGAGAAGTAAGGTCCTGCACTTAGACAAGAAAAACCAAATGCACAGATATAGAATAGGAGGTGGCTGGCTCAACAGTAGTAACTGTGAGAGGGATCTAGGTGTCCTGGTGGATTATCGCTTAAGTATGAGTCAGTAGCATGCAGCTGCCAAAAAAGCTAATACAGTTCTGGGCTGCATCAACAGAGAAATAGCATTAAAATCATGATAAGTAATAATACTCCACGGTGAGACCACACTTGGACTAGTGCATTGCATAAAACCAATTCGTTGTATACATGAGGTACAATGACAATAAAGGCTATACTACTACTATCTAGTTTTGGTTACCACAATTCTAAAATGATGCTCACACCCTAGAAAGAGTGCAGAGTAGAACAACGAAAATGATAAGGAATCTGGAGACTAAATCATACAATAAACTGCTAAGGGAACTAGGTATGTTTAGCCTAGTGAAGAGAAGGCTCAGAGAAGAATGATATCAGTCTTCTAATACTTGAAGGGCTGTCAGGAAGAGGATGTTGATTTATTCTCCATAGCACCTGAGGGCAGGACAAGAAGCAATGGATGGAAACTTGTCAGAGGGAGATTCAACCGGGAAATAAGAAAGAATTTCCTAACAGTAAGAACAATTAATCAAAGGAAAAGCTTGCCTCCAGGAGTTGTGATGCTTTTCAAGGTTTTCAAGAAAAGATATGTCATCCATTTGTCGGGGATAGTATAAAAACTCCTGCCTTGGGCAGGGGGTTGGATTAGAAGACCTCCAAGGTCCCTTCCAGCCCTATGATTCTGTGAAAAGATTGCAAATAATGACCACCCAATCATAGAGGGGCTTGGCAACTGGTCATAAGTGCAAACAGTTTGCCAAAGAACCCAAATTATAATCATGGGATCGTGGATACATGGCACAACATTTTACATTAGCTGGAAGTGCTTTACAGGTTATAAAAAAAACTTTTCCGAAGCTATTCTAACTTTGATGACTACCTATGGTGATTTTTTTTTGCTTTATTTTACTTTTAAATATGTTTTAAGAAACATAGGCATAAACATATGCATTCAATAATTTTCTTTTTTCTTTTCATATAAACGTCTGTTCTTGGTCAACCAAGGGTGAAGCTTTCTTACCACAGATAAGTAAATAACATGGAATGTTTAACAGACTCTAGGAAGATGAAGGCAGAGCAGGATCATTAGTTCAGAAGACTAAATACTCCACCTGATTTGCACAGAGCTGACTTGGAGAATGGATTTTGCAGGTTTTAAGATTCTGTTACATTATCTCCTAACAATAAATGCGTTTTGGAAATCCAGGTAGGTTTTGTTTTTGAGTTTTGTTTCTGAGAATTTGATGTAAAGTATGGTATCTTATTATCTATTCACTATTTACATATTAGCATCTATTTACATGTCTGAGTGAAATAAACGCACTGAACCAAGGCCTGTTAAGGTGGCTTTCACAAAACAGTGCAAGCTGGAAAAAAAAAGAAAAAAACATTGTTGAGCACTTGTTCACAGCCTATTTGTGGTCTACAGCTACAAATACAGGTTTGTATTTGTTACAACTTACAACCACAATTGAGTCCAAAACATGTCATTAAATGAGACATTTGTTAAGTGAGTTGTGTCCCGTTTTATGACTTTTCTTGCCACAGTTATTAAGTGAATCACTGCAGTTGATAAGTCAGTAACCCAGTTGTTAAATTAACATAGCTTCCATACTGACTTTGCTTGTGAGAAGGTCGCACTTGGGGCACAGCAAGTCATAAATATGAACCAGTTACCAAGCATCTGAATTTTGATCACATGATCATGGGGATGCTGCAATTACAAGGTTGTAACTGTGAAAAACGGTCATAAGTCACATTTTTAGTGCCATTGTAACTATGAACAGTCATTAAACGAACTGTTGTAAGTTTTGGGCAACTTGTGTCTTGTGGCTATCATATTCTCAATCAGAAACTTCAGTTAGCATGGCAACATATGGAAGCATTTTTAATCAACTACAAAGACTTACATTGGCTGCTGAAGGATTGGATGAGGAAGGTAGGGGGAAAAAACATTAGTTTCAATTTCTCTAGGAGAGCTGAGCAGACAAGTTTTTTTTTCCATGAGTTTTACAGATTGCACAATTTTTCTTCCCTAAGCATGGAATGTGCTTTATGAGTCTAGATGTCTATCTCAAAGGTGTGAATTTAACTCCTAACTCAGCAGAAACATCTCCTGTAAGATACATGTCAGAGAGGAATCTCTGTATTATTGCAGCTGTCATACCACATGTTGTAAAGCCATTGATTCTTCAACCTCATAAGTTGTTTCATTTTTCTCTTCTGGGAATCATTGTTCCTGCAACTGCATCAAGCAAATTTTGATAATGTTAACATAAAATTTCAAAAACTGTCACACACTTATGAATTGGATGGCCATATAAGTCAAATAAATAAGCACTGTACTTTCTCTCACCTCCACGGGCTAAGTGATAGTGATAAGAGTGACAAGGTTAACACATCATGGTAAACACATGTCATGGTAAACATATGTCATGGTAAACCACTGATAACCAGGACACATAATAGTTTAATGTAACATGTAAACCTGCTATGTTCAGGTTTAGCTTAGTAACTAATAACATCTTAGTATATAATCTGAATTCAGTCACTACTGTATGATCTGTAAATCATTTATTCAACAAGCCAATGGCATACCACAATGTGTATGCTCAGTCAAGGAGCGGCCCAAAGTAACTCAGTGACTAAGTAGGTATCTGAACCAGGATTTTGCAATTCCAGTATGACAATCAAGATAACATAAATACTTTTCCTGCTACTAAAATCTAGCCAACTATAACTGAGTCAGCAAAAAATTACTCAGTTTCAAAACCTGAAATTTGCCACTCCCGCTGCTGATCCATATCCTGCTACTACCTCTGTTCTGACTCACTGCAGAAAGTTGCCATCCTAATTTTGTGCATTCACAATCAGCAAAATGACAGGTTCATTTCTCCAAGTTTGCTGTTCTCTCTCTTCTGCCTACCACCAGGCTACAGGAAAAATATCTACCAATCATAGTGCTGCAACAGAAATGAGGAGGGTCTGTCTCCTTCCTGTGCTTCTCCACCTATATCCCATTCTGAATAAAGTTTTAGAAAACAATCATGAAAATAGTTAAGTCACAGGCACTTAAAATTTCTCTTTCCTTTCTTTATACAGTTGACCAATAGCAACTTACAGTTTCCACATCAGGAAGCAATGGGAAGGAAGCATATCAACATTTCTCTATAATGCTATTTCAGCCTGTTATGCCACTTCACCCTGGTACCATTATAAGCCCTGGCAAGAAGTTATTTTTCCTTATATACCATGCACCATCATGTCCAACAGATTGACAGCAGAGAAGTAGATTGGGAAAGGGAAGGAAAAAATAGCTTGAAACAGGCAGTAAACACCTCTCTAATCCCTCTTACTACTGGTCATGTGATTCTATCTCTGACATAGTGGGTGGCAAAGCAAAATGGATTTCTTGCAGCTTCCACTAGATGCTCACAATGATTTAAATTTGTCTCACTCATGGGGTGGGGATAGAATGAAGACATCCCAGGGATGTCATTAAAAAAAAGATGTCACCAAGGCATGTCTGTATTACAGTTAGGAACAAGGATGAAAAGGCCAATCAGAATTCAGAAGTCAATTCAGAAGTCAATTCAGAAGCCAATCCCATTAAATTCAATCAAGCACAGATTATAATATTAATTTAGTTTACTATCCCATTAAACATATATTGAACTCTATGACTTGCTTTATTAATAGCAGCTATAAGGCTACATAATTAATAAGTTGGAATAGCAATAGAAAATGTACAGCAAATCAGGCCAAAGTCTTTTTCAATTCCACTTTTAGTAACATAATTGGAACAAGTGACAAACAGTACATCTTTTATTACTTAAAAGCACAAGCTAAATATAACCATGGTTGACTTTGCAGGGGTGGGGAAGGTTAGGTTTTTTGTTGCAGTGTGATTTTTAAGGCCAAATATAAACTGCTGCTCCAATCCTGACCACAAGAGATAAGATACCAAGCCTAACAATAGGAAGACTTAACTTGACTCTTCCAGTTCTGTGGACTGATTTTTTTTTTTAATTTAGCAAGTGAATGTATTTTTTTTTCACCCTACATATAATTGGCAGAAACACTACAGGTTTCCATTTTGCAAGAACAGCAAAAGAAGGAACTGGAAATTTGAGAATTAACTAATATATATGAGGGAAAAGATTGGTGAAGTTTATCTTTTTAAAATGATAAACACAGAAGCACAAAAGCAAACCAGTCATACCAACATTTTGAAAAGAGAATCTATATCTGCAGAATGCTCTAAATTTTAGTCTGCAATCCTGTGCAAGCTGATTTAAATTCCATTGAATCTAGCCAGCTTTATTGTGACTTTTCACGTTACCTTTCAATTTATCAGAGCAGTTGAGGAAAATGTGATACATAGTACAGTTCTGTAAAAGTTTACTCAAAAGTAAACCTTACTACTACAATTAAATTTCTCCAGGAAAGCACGTATCTAGCATATAGGTATTATGCACTCTTCTGTTCTGGAGTCAATCATACTCTCATTAAACATTGACCTCAGTCAGTGCAGGTACAGTTATAACCAACTTTTTCCAAGTTTTTCCTCTACTGCCTCATGATTGAGTCATATCAGAAATTTTGAACTTCCGCATAAAAGGTTGGAAACTTTGAATTTCAACGATTCCACAGACTTCATCGATACTAAGAAACCACTGTTGGAACCGAGCTTCACGAGTGGATTGTTTTAAAAACACGTGGATCCTCGAATCCGTCAAGGATTTAGAAATAAATACTACAGAAAACTACTCAGGCGTTTCAAGTTCGCCAAGATCGAAAATTACAAAGAGGAACTGTAAAGGGATAGTGCGGGCTAAGACGATGCTTACAGTCTAAATAAGCGCTCCATATCCTTGATCTGCCGACGAGTGAACTCTTTAAACTCAGTGTAGGGATTGAAGACCTGGGCGAGGCGGGGCTGTGCCGCGCCCGCGTTGATGTCCTGCCGGCGAGTCAGCTTGGCGCTCAGCTCCGGGTCAGCGGCGGCATTCAGCGCATCGCGGTCTTCGGCCGGATCGTCGGCCGGGTCCTCGGGGCTCGTTTCGGAGCCGGCCGGCTCAGGGGCAAGGCTGTCTTCCTCTTCTGCAGGAGGCGCCTCCGAGGTGCTGCCGTCTCGAAGTAGTCGCCTCTGCAACTTTTGGGCCAGTTCGGACGAGGCCATGGTCGAGAAAGAACGACGTGCCCTGCAACCGCCGTCGCCGCTGGGCTCGCTTCCTTTCTTTGCTAAAAAGCTTACCCGCCCCGCTAACAGCAAACTTTATTCTAGGACTTTGGCGAATTGGCGGGGAAGGAGGGCCGGGGGCGGGGAAGCAGCGAGAGGCCGGGCTGAGACTTAAGGAGGCGCCGGGGATTGGCGCGCCATCGCAGTAAAGTCTCTTTCTCTGGGGTTGTCCCTGTCGCGGAAGCTCAAACTCTACAGACAGAGCTTCCTCCATTATTATTTTTTTCCGCTGCACCTGTCATCGAATCCGGCGTTGATCCTTTATTTCTCTCTGGCTGTAACAAACACCTGTTGTTGCACTTTTATGATAGCCGAGGAACCGCTGTATTCCACCTCCGAGTAAAAAGTGGATTGGCCTGGGTCTTAATACTGAAAGTGTATAATGTATAACAGTGATTAAAGCTACACTCTAATGTGCATTTGGTTTTCCCTTTCTCTTTCCATCTCCTGTCTTCTATTAGGGGCTGTCAGATGTCAGAAATGCCTTTTCAAACCTGATGGAAGAGAGGAAAAGTATATAACAAACCTTCCTTGGACAGATTTAAGATTACATTGTAAACAGTATATTTTAAAACAGGAGTGCCATATCTCTTGGAGCTGCTGTGAAATTTTGGGGATATGTTCTGGTACACTCCAAATAATAGTTTGAGGATTTGCCTGTTCATAAAATGGCTGACAAGAACACTTGCAGAGCACGGGTTCCCTAAAATGCTTTGCAACTAGTAGAGCAGTTCCTGTTTCTTATGTTTACACTTTCCTTTTTCAGTGTATCTGGGAACATTTCCAAATAAAGCACTGGCCTGCAGTTATCCATTTTTATTCCTTTGGAAAGCTTATGGGACTCTGAAACATACTTGGAAATAAATGTTATGCCAGGTTCACATTTCATTTTGCAACATGCCAACACATTTTAAATCAAATGGAATAGGAAACCTGGTGCCAAAATGCCTGTTGGCCTCAACATCAGCCATTCAGGATAATGATGGATCTTTTTTTCTTAGAAAATAAATGTTCCTGTTATGTCATCATTTTTGGTCTACAGCCCAAAGAGCCTACAGCTATAACCTAACTATACACTATATGCATTCCTGTTTGAAGTGTTATGTCAGAAACTAACCAGATATATCATTGCCAATTTGTCAGTGCAAGTTGAAGTGTGGCTCCATTTTTTGTTCTAATATTCTATATATGACATCTTTAGTGAATTGTGTATGCTTAGACGTACAGATAAGATTGGCTTCTGTCATATGCATTTACCTGGCAATACAGTTAAATAGAGTAATCTTAGACTCAGAATGAATTCACTGGAAATTATCACCAGGTAAATATGTATAATATGGGACTTATGCTCATAAATGACAGTCATGCAAATCAATAGAAAGCAGGCACAATACATGTTAACCTAAACCATTAACACTTTACTTTCTGTTAATTTTAGGAGTAGGATACTAAAGTTGCAATATGATGTACACTAACTTGGAATTTAAATTTCACTAAACTTGTTTGTTCTGCATGTAACATTTTTTGTAATCTATTTTACAAGTGCAGGACATAATAGTAGTAAAAGCAACAACCATGTTTTCTATGTGCTACTAATAAGGAAGAGAAGGCTTGTTTCCTTTTTAATCCTTTTAAAAATTAAGTTTAGTAATCCCAAATGATGCAGGAGAAAAGAAAGTGATGCAACGGTGAGAATTACTATTTTTATAGACGTTTAAAGATGCTTGTCTTTTTAGCCTATTTAGTATGGAAAGTAAAAATTATTGAGAATAATTAGGATAGGAGTTAACACTATATATAGAATTTGTACAACCGAATATTTTAGTCCCTATTTCTGCTTTTGCAGGCATGTGCAGAGATTATGGGAAGAAAGGAAATTGCTTATACTTGCATATGTATACATCAGGGGTGGGTTTCTCGCCCCGTTCCAACCGGTTCGGTTGGAACAGGGCCGGCGGTGTCCTCGTGCACGCGCATGGCGCACGCATGTGTACTAGCATCTGTGCAATGCTCCAGCTGCTCCTGGAGGATCGCGCAGGAGCTGTATGCGTCCTGCGCATGCGTGGAAGCGCAGAACTCGTCAAAACCAGGTAAGGAGGGCGGGCGGGTGGGCCCGTCGCCGTTCCCGGAAGTTACTTACTTCCGGGTTCGCCGACCAACCGGTTCGCAGGGACCGCCGCGAACCAGTTGAAACCCACCCCTGGTATACATGTACATACATACACACTGTAATAACAGTGTAAAGTAAGTGGTAACTTTAAAGTAATATCCTTTAGTGTGAAGGTTATTTTTAGCTAAAAAATTACCATTGAAATTCTGATCCATATCACTACTTGGAGAAATAATTAAAAATCTAATTAGAACAAATGTTGAAAAAGCAGGAAAGTATTCTTTTAAGAATGCCCTTTTTATAATTCATGTTTTTACATATTAATCCAGAATGATTACCATTCAAGAATATGTGTACTTGTGTATAAAATCTCTACAGTTTTAAATTTTTACTAATTAAATTGTTTCATGCAACATTGGTATTAAGCAATTTGATCTTGAAGTTAAACCCCCAAAATGGCATGTAAATTAATTTTAATAATTTCCTTAGATTTTTATTACGTTCCTTAATAAAATGTTTCCCCATCCTTTCCTTTAATAGCACACAGCAGTTGTGAAATTCAATTTTTTTTACTACCGGTTTTGTGGGCGTGGCAGGGGAAAGGATACTGCAAAATCCCCATTCCCTCCCCAGTCCTGGGGAAGGATATTGCAAAATCTCCATTCCCACCCCACTCTGGGCCAGCCAAAAGTGGTATTTGCCAGTTCTCCAAACTATTCAAAATTTCCACTACCAGTTCTCCAGAACCTGTCAGAACCTGCTGAATTCCACCCCTGGCACACAGGATAGGTAAAAAAATGTCAGAGGATAGGTTTTCTTTAATTTTTCCAATATACCTTTTCATGTGGAAATTATTGTGACTAGAAGTTAAGAGAACAATGATTATCAGTGGGTTCTAGAATAATGTAATAATTTTATCACAAGAGAAATGAAAACATAATCTTGTTATAGATAACATAGCTGTTGAAAAAAAGAATAATGTGCTTCAGATATCAGAGAAAAGCTTTATGTTTTCTAAAACATCTATAGAGCTATTTTAATGTGAATTTTTGCACTAAATAGAAAATTGGCCTTAACCTAAATGGCTCCTATTATATTTTTCAAAGCAAGAGTTTGCAATTTGTCTATCCCGGGAGGGAACTTCCTTAAATTTACAGAGGCACATCTCTCACATTTTTCCCGAGATCTAAAATAATCTAGAATGAAGTCACAAATTTAACATTATTAACATCATGCTTTGACTTTCTGTCTTCCAGACGAAATCAGCAGAGATTTTCTTTTCTGTATGAAAGTACAGTAACCATAATCTTTTTACACTTTGATTCTACCAGTATCTTTGGCACAAGAAATCAATCTGATAAGCCACTAAATTTTCCGACATACATTTTTCCTTTAAAAAAAAAAGTAGCTAGCCAGTCAGAACTGGTAGAAAGTAATGCCTTTATCTAAAATCCTATTAAGTGCTTGCTTCAAACAGCAATTGCAAGCTTGTCAACAATATTTTTTGAGATGATTTTTATTTTTGTTAAGATAACCAGAATTCCTGAAAATAAATGCTGAGTATCAGAAAAGCCCACACAGCAAAAAAATACCAACACAGTATTCAGGTTCAGGTTTCCCTTCCTAGTAATTATATACTAGTTTTCTTTTCTAGCCCCAGAGCACTGGTGTTCATCATAAATAATGTTGATCTTGAGGAAGTCCAGACGGACAAAAATGCCAAAGGAGTGAAAATTCCGAAGGAGCATATTTTAGCCCTTTTTCTTTGCTTATTCCACATAATAAGAGTTTTGTTAAATGAGCCCTTAAAGTCTTTGTTAAGACTTTATGTATCTCTAAGGGCATCAGCAGAAGGGCCAGAGAAGTATAAGAAAAGAACAGACATAGTCATTGCCCGAAGTATAATTTTGAAGAGTTAGGTCTAAACTGGGTGAGCACATGCACACAAGGCTTATCTGGAATATGTGAAGAAATTTTTTAAAAAAATCTTTGATCATGTACATATGCCCCAGCACAGAATAACAACATTCCCTGCTTCTAACATGAGTAAGAAAGCACAACCCTTATGTCAAAAGATGTGATTTTATTTACCTTTGGATCGTCTTTTTATTGCTTGTGTTCATTTAATTGTTGATTCCAAACTATTTGGTAGCATCTCATATAGCATATATAAGGGTAGTTTCAACCAATTAAAAATGGAGAATTGAGAAGGAAATTGTTCAATTTTTAGCTAGTCAGTGGTTAATGAATCGTCATACTGTAGAATGGTAACAGGAAGCTAAAGTCAGCTAGTCAGCCCTTGTGTTGTTTTGTCAACGAGCCAAGTATTAATAACTTTGCCAAATTATTGGAGAACATGTTTCTGTTTCTTGGGCATGGATTGTGTGTGCCTATGTATGTGTGTAAATAATGAGACTTTAATTCTCCTAACTGTCCTCCAACTTTTTAATTGTCATGTAAAAAAAGTTAAGAGAAATGATAATAAAAATGATAATACTTTTATAGATCAATTGGCAAAGAAATGGAAAAGTCAGTAGTCAAAGTCTTATAGAAAAATATGAGGATTCTGCAAATATGAATGTCACTAAGTCAAAACTTGCACTGTTGCACTGGCAACAGCCTGAAGGTTGATGTCATGTTGCACTTTGCCTATGGCACTCCTTTTCATAAGTACTATGGTAATTGCTGTATCAAAAGGTGTGTATTTCTTGTAGTGGGTGACTAGAATAATGGAATCACTGATTCTTCTTTAGACTGGGGTAAATGATCATCTGCATTCTATAGGGAATTCTTCAGACCAAAATATAATTACAGAATGGACTTGAGATCTTATCTTTTTCTACAGACCTACTGTAAACAATAAATAATATATATTCCAATCATCATATTGTATAATATTCAAATTATCCAAAACATTGTGAGCTCAGTCAGATATATTACTTCTTTTCTTCTAGGGTACAACAGAGCAAGGGTCATTGACTACAAATTACTGTTGTTTGTAATTCATACATTTATGTTTTTATTACCTGTGTATTTAGTGTCCCAATATATTTGCATATTTGGGATGATGCATCACTCCCCAACTGCTAATAATGTACTATATAGTCAAATCATGTTTTGAGTTGAAGACTACACTCATTCTAATCCAAAATATTATACTCAGTATGGTCCAGATATTTAATAATAAATTGCATTCCAGCATTATCCATATATGAATGACATAGTTAGGAACAGATTTGCACTATTTGACATTGAGCAAATTATCAATATTTCATTCTTAAATCATTAGTTTTTATTCTAAGTTTTAAAGAAGCAGTGGGAACAGATCAGCATATCTTCTCTCAGACAATTCTAAAATTATTATTCTCGGTTTGAATCCTACTAAAAGTATGTTGCCCAGAATTGGAAACAATGCACATTGAAAGGCCTAACATAGAATAATATAGAACAATGTTTCTTCAACATTTTTAACAAAAAATGAGAACAGTGATATTGTTTTACATTTTTGCAAATATTGTCAATTTCTGGCAAATAATTTTGATTTCTAAGAAAAAATGGTGTAGGTTATTACTTAAATTATTTAGAAGCTATATTAAATGCCTCCCTAAAAACCTTTTGACTTCATTTACTATCAACTATTATTCCCAGATCACTTTCACATGTACACATATTTCAATCTCTCTCTCTAAAGTTCCATCAAGCAACTCTGAAGTTGCATCTTTCCTTGGTCTATCTTGTCTAATCATCAAAACCATAAATCAGAAATTATTTTTTCATTTTTACCCATAAAAGGTTTTTAATCTCCAATAAATGTAGACATTGTCTTTCTTTTAATCCAAGAAGTCAAAATCAGTTTATTTATCTCAGCAAGATTTATCAATTTCACCAAACATCCCTCTATAGTGAGTACAATAGTGCAAAATCATTTCATTTTTGTTCATATAATCTTGCTGTAATACAAGTAGTCATATATTGAAATAACCTTATATGTATCCTTTCTAACTGTGTATCCATCAACCCTAAAAGGAAAAGTTCTTGCTTCAATTGAATATCAATATTTAAAATCATCTCTATCAATGTATATATTTGAATACACAACTTTTTAGCGTTTTTACATATTCTTGAACATAAACATCCATTCATGTTCACATTTCCAACATACATTTGAAGTGTTTTATACATTCTAGATAATTTCTCTCATATCCATTACCAACAGTATATCATTTTACAAACATTCTCTTTTAAGATAAGATAATGTAAATTTTAAGCATTTTAGCCACATTGATCCATCTGTATATTATAATCAAAATTCTTAGCCCACTTTATCATATATTGTTTAATCTATTCTTCCTGTTTCCAAATGTAACAAAACTTAATACATTTCAGCAATTACATGTTTGTCATCTGTGCAGAATTGTACTTCAAATTCTATCCTACCTTGTTCCATATCATGTCTTTTTTCCCATTTTGAATATTTTTGATAAGTGTAAATGAGGAAACCATTGACAGCTATGGCCTTTTCCTACTAGTTGCTCTCTTTATTTAATTCCCCTTGATGATTTTCCAATAGTTCCCAGTATGTCAGTCATTTGACCTTGGCTACTTTTCTCCTCTGTGAAATGCTTCTTGAGCTGAGATCCACAGAAGTGTTTTCAGACACAATCTGGATTTATATTTATTCCATATTCTCAATGACATATATAATAAAATTATTTTTAAAAGCTACATTAATTTTAACATTATTTTACACTATAAATATCTATGCCATCCAGATGTCAAGTTACCTTCTAACTCTAAACAATTCTTGTTCTCAGCAACAACTATTCTTTCCCCCAGACAATGTTGCAAAATACAATTTCAGATCCCTGTCCTCTTTCCTTTGCATTCTGTAACACTTTATATTTAAATTGTGGTTTCCCCCCCTTGCTGTACAAATTTAGGTATATCATTTTGCCATTATTTGAATAGTATATCCATTGTGTAAACAGAAGTTGTGAAAATTTATGTGATTTTAGCAACCCTTAGGAGGTGCAATCAATTTTGTGCCAGCAGGTCATAATCCAGGTAATTTAAATCATAATTCTAGAGTCCAAATCTCTCACACCAGTATTGGCTATGGGTATAGCCAATCATTCATTTCCAATATCATTTGTTTTCTTTTTCCAATTGATTTCCATTGACTAAACAGAACATTATCAGAACCTAAGGGTTCTTGAGTTCTTTCCTCCAAAAGCTATGGTATTTAGGTAATTATCCCCATATGGATTTATACAAATATGTAATTTTCAGAAGACTTGTTCCATATAGAAGCACATTTCATAAGGTGATAGGCCTGGTCAGGGCACATTTATTCTGATTTGTTTTAAAGGTGAACAACCAATTACTACAACTTTTCTCTTTTTCTTTTCACAGCCAACAGCTGCATTTTCTCTGCCCTTTAGAGAATCACGATCCTGTGTCCTGTTCTAGAGTGTCTCCTTTCTTCCCCTGAAGGCTCAGCAGCTGTTTCTCCTGCCTAAATCTTTCCTGATTTCCACTGGAACAGAGTATTTTTCAAAAATCTTGACAAAATCTTTTAAATATTACTGAAAATTACAGGGAATTCTCATTTGTCTGCTTAGGAAAATTAAAATCTAAAATGCTGGTTAGAAAATAGTTTCTTACAGATGTATTACAATATAATGCTTGCCATGAATGATGTATAAATTGTCAAAAAAAATGATTTATTTTTTTTTGCAAATAATTATGTATATGGAGATGTGACTTTATTAGTGCCATATGTGTCTACATGGTATTTCTGGAAATACTCTAAAGTATCTATTGGTTATTTGAGACTGCAACTTCATTATTTAGTGTTTTGCTGATAACTAGATCCAGGAAACAGCTAAAATGAAAGAAAAGACACCTGACAACTCCAGATCCTGTCGTTTCTCACTTTTTAATGTGTAAGATTGAACTCTTACAAGTCAGACTAAAAAACAAAATCCAACATAACAATTTAACCTATATTAAAATAAGAGGCAGAGTCTACAAATGATCAATTATTTGACGTGAAAATTGATTACAGTAGGTTGCTCAGGTTTTCTGAACTAAAAATTGAGACATACCAAAGTAATATGTAAACAGAGCTGTCTGTGGTGAATAGCACTATAATTTTAAAAATGAAATACAAGATGTTACAAGCAGGCTTTGTTCTGATGTTTTTCTTAGAAATATATAAGTTCATCTGTAATTTCGCTTGACAGCAGAAGCAAATGAACATAAATTACAGGAAACATTAAGATTTTAGATTTACATGGTGCTTGAATTTGAAATTTGAAAGACTGGTGTTGCCCTCTGCTGGATTATTGTATGCTCTGTTTTTAAAAATGCAAGTTTGCAAGATAAAGATTATCTAAAAACATATGGTTGCTCATGTAACACGTATGAGCAATTTCTTATTTCTACATCTTTTATGGACATGCCTGGCAATGTTTGATTTAAGGAGGTGCTACCGGTGCAATATATTCTCCCTACAAATATCTACTATTATAAACATTTTGTAATTTATGAAGGAAATTTAAATTGGAGAGGCTTTTAAGTGGTGGTACTTCAGCAGCAGAATATTCTCTTCAAATAGACTGATCTGAGATAATATATTATGGCATTTTGAATACTAGTTATTATTTTATTTTCCTAAGCATTGCAGCCCTATTTGTTATACCATATAGTTCTGGTATATCATTTTTTCCCCTTAAATTATCCAGAAACCTTTTGCTATTGAAAAGTATGTAAACACTGTATAACTTACAAGACTTCTGATGTATTACCCAGCTGGTAGGTAATGGCCTACTGGAGCAAGAAGGTATGGAAAAGTTATGCATTATTTAAGTATCTGGTAGTCTACTAATCAATAAGAAATGTATTCAGAGGCAATTCGGGTTTAAAGTATATCTGATTCAGCATAATTTCAGATTGTTCTAAAGGTGCTTTAACTCTAACGCTAATATGTAACTCCTTCAGGATTACAGACTAAAATAATCTTTTGTGCAATCTGAAATGATGTCTATAGAAATTCTCAATCATCTATGTCATGCTTTTACAAAAGGCAACTGGAATTTCTTGCCCCCCCCCCCAAAAAAAAACCATTTTGCTTCTCATCAGAACAGAAGAAGCTTCTTGGATGAAAGGGGAAATATTTTCAAGAAAAAAGCAAGAAAGTCCAGTTGCCTTTTGTAAAAGCATGACATGGATGATTGAGAATTTCTATAGACATCATTTCAGATTGCACAAAAGATTATTTTAGTCTGTAATCCTGAAGGAGTTGGATATTGGAGTTAAAGTTAGTTAGAGCTCTGAAGAAGTTTCCATCTTGTTAGAATATGCATCACTCGGAATTTTGACACTCCCTCATGAATTTACAAGAACTGATAATTATACTTTTTTATTCCATTACAATCTTCAGCCAAGTGGTATTCCTGCAAAGTGACCCTAGAACTACCCTACTTCTTGCTGTATCAGAGAAAGTAGAAATAAATATTGTATAGATTGTCTGTAGAGTATGTTATTAGCAGAAAATCTTAAAATACCCTCACAGGTATCTACTTTTACAATTAAATGAATGCAATAGTTTGCAAAGAAACAGGAAAGCACTATATGTAAATATATGTGTTATATACATCTATGTTTTATTTATGTTTAATGGGGAATATTTTACATTCACTGACTAGTTAACTGGCTTTTTTTTTTTTTTACTATCAAAGAGCTTCTATTATTTATTAATGGCAGTAAACATAGTTTAAACTGGGAATGTTCTATTAATCTTCCAACCTTATAATTTAATTATTGCGGACTAACTTCCTGAATCAGCCTTGTATCCAATCTGTCAATATAATTTTTAGAAAACAAAATGCCAGTGTACATAAATAAATTATTTTACATTTTGATGACAGAGAACTTGTCTGGATTTCAGCATTTTTTACAAACATAGAAAATTGTGTGCAAATTACAAAGGTAAGGAATGAAACTGATAATTTTACATTCTACTTTTCAGAAGTGGAAAAAATATTCAGAGAACTTCAAAACCTTTTATGTATTTCCATTTGACTACAGAGTTGAGATTTACTATCAGTTGTCAGTTCACTATTACTATTTGCACTAACTCAAACTAAAGAATACAACTGTTGCTGAAAATATACCTCATGGCACAAGCACCTCAAATTTTGTATTAATTATACAATAGGTGTTTTTTCCCCAGGAGAGTAAAATTATTTTTTTTATATTTCATATTTCAAAACTTCCCATTTCCCTCTCTATTATCAAAACTAATGTACTGACATTTCAAAATTTTGTAACTATAACAAGATGAAGTATATAAATAATAATGAAATAAAAGTTCCCGGACTCATTCTATGTTTTATTAATTGATTGTGTATGAGGTTATTATTTTAAAGCACAGAGATACGTAGATGAAAGCAAAAGCTTAATTTGTTTAATTCCTTATATTAGACATAGGAGCAGTATTAGAAAAACTGGCAATTTTAGGGTACATTACAGCCCATCTGTTCCAAAGTCCTGAATGCACATCTAAGTACTAGATGAAATTACTGAAACCTCAGCCACCACCCTGGAATTCCATTAGATGCCTGGGCAGACCAGTAAGATAGGCATATTTATTTCATGAGTGATATGGCACCAGATCTTACTTATCAAGTTATGGCATGATAAAATGATAACAAAACATTCAAAAATTTAGAGGTCACTAAACAAACTTGCACAGAATGCAAGTTTTTTGACCATGGCATAACATAATATTAATGTCCCAAAATTATAGATCACATTGGCTGTCCCAAGATAAAAACCCCATCTAAAGTGAGTAATGTGATGAGCTCTTATACCAGGAACAGGTCCGTGCCTCTCACAGACATTAGAAATTCATGAGCTGTCTCCAACTTTTCTCCCACAGAAGGCAAATTAAGTGCCTGGGAGCTCTACCACCACCTGCAGATTTTCTGAATGTTTTACTATGATACTACTATCATGCCAACAGTTGCAAGAGATTAATAGAAAATTTAATTTGTTGACCTGTTGAGTTACAGAATGAACAATAAGCAGGTAGTTCTAGTTTAATTACCACAATTAAGACTCAATTGTTAAATCACTAAATAAAATTGCAGCTGTGCTTATGATGTTATTTCAGCTTCCTTTTCTTCTTTTTTTGTTTTACAGACTCATGAAGGTTGTAAATGCAAAGATCAGTCTGAAGGTACTTATTCATCATCATTGTAATTGTAAACAGTTACTAAATAAACACTGTCAGTACATTCTGACAACTAAAAATCACCACATTTAAGAAAACAATCATATTGGTATAAATATGACATTAAAATATATAAAACATAAAAAACATATTTTGAACATAGTGTTGAACTGTAATGAGATGATTTCTAATGTTACTGAACAATAGCAGTGGAAATAGATATTGGAAAATAGTCCCACCTAGACTATTATGAGAAAAATCCTTGGGTGCCTGATAATGAACGAGGCATGCTCTGGAATGCCCAATGCAAAATCCCATCAAACGTGTTCTGGAAGATCATAGAGAAAATAAAATAATCAGAATCTGAATTTAGAAAGATAATTCATAGGAATAAGGTAAAGGTAAAGGTTCCCCTCGCACATATGTGCTAGTCGTTCCTGACTCTAGGGGGCAGTGCACATCTCCGTTTCAAAGGTGAAGAGGCAGGGCCGTCCGAAAACATCTTGGTGGTCATGTGGCCAGCATGACTAAATGCCAAAGGCACACGGAACACTGTTATCTCCCACCAATTTTCCTATTTTTTCTACTTGCATTTTTTACGTGCATTTGAACTGCTAAGTTGACAGAAGCTGGGACAAGTAACAAGAGCTCACGGCATTATGCGGCACTAGGGATTTGAACTGCCAAACTGCCAATCTTTCTGATCAACAAGTTCAACATCTTAGCCACTGAGCCACCACATCCCTTCTTCATAGGAATAGATTACATAATAAAGGCAAATGTAAAACTATTTTTATACTTTTTAAAAAACAAATACACTATTCCTGTGTAGGTTAAACCACATCCAATTCTGATCTGCCATTTCTTCCAGAAATTTGCAAATCATTTTGTGGCTGAATTTGTTAAACTAGCATGCTAAATGCTGAATATTACCAAGGAGGATTTGATTTTTACTGAAGCTTGCTGATGCATTATAAATTCCACATTAGATATTTTACAGAGCCAAACAAATAAACCTACATCATTATTTACTTGATTTACCTCCCCTAAGAGGGAATCCAAATCATCTTTATTCAATGCAGGTTCAGTTCCAGCAGAATCTTCTAGCACCTATAATTCAAAAGATTTCCTTATACATGTCTATTCAGAAGTAAGTTCCACATGTTCAATAGGATTTGTTCTCATACTAAATACAGGTAGTCCTCGACTTACAACAATTTGTTTAGTGGCCATTCAAAGTTATGATACACTGAAAAAAACTTATGAGCATTTACAATATTTACATATTTACAACCCTTGCAGGGTCCCTATGGTCATCTGATTGCCATTTGCAACCTTCCCCAATGGATCCAACAAGTAAAGTCAATGGGGAGGACTGTAGGTTGCAAATCATGATCATGTGATGCTTGCTTAACAACTGTGGTGCTTTGTTAATTACTTTGGCAAAAATGGTTGTAAAATCAGGGGTAAACACATGTCTCACTTAATAACCATACTACTTAACTACTGTCCCAGTTGGGTCATAAATTGAGGACAACTTGTATGGACTGGACTATAGCCTTAGTACTTAAGCTTTTATATAAATTAGGTTCATGTGTTTAACAATAGCCAGTATTCTAAGGCAGTAGTCCCCAATCTTTCGGGCTCCACGGACTAGCAGTGGTGGTGGCTGCAGCAGCAATGGCAGTGGGGTGTGTGTGAGGGGATGGTTTCATGTGCACTCCCGCTACAAGCACAAATGGAGCTTCACATGCTTGCCTACTGCTTGCACAGACCAGTTCTCAATGGGCCGCAGATTGGTATCATCTGTGGACTGGGAGTTAGGGACCTCTGTTTTAAGGGATTATCTAACACAGCTGGAGAGTATCAAGTTACAGAAAGCTGGTATAAATTTTGTGCAAAATAGCTATGGTAAAAAGAAAATGCCAGCCTTATCTGTGAGAGTTTAAAAAGTCAGATGTGAATAAATTAATCTATCTTCATACTACTTCCATGGGTCCTACATTTGTTTGCTGATACCTGCTCCCTGCCTCTCTCCAGAAAGGGGTCAGTGCAATAATCAGAAGAAGAAAAGTCTTCACTGTGTTCAGTCTAGTTAGAGGATCATGGATATAAGATTTTTAGTACATTGAGGTTATTAAGCTTTGGAAACGAAAATGATCCTATAAACTTGAGGCAGAAGCCATTTGCAACACTTTTCAAAAGAATAAGCTGCAGGAATGGATTAACAGATAACAAAAATAAAAGTTGTATGCTTTGTGTCTTAGTTAAATATATGGAGACTACCATACCTGTCTTTTTCCTCAAATTTCTCTTCAAAATTCACTTCTGGAATGAATCCCTTGATTTGACACATTCATTTATGTTTATACACTTAACCTGTGGGGTCATCCTTTCAGATATATTTGTGAGTGCAAAGGGACTGGCAGAGATTCTGTGAGTGCAGAAGACTAACCTGAGCAACTTGATACATTCTCTTGCAAGGTTCCCTATTGACTTTCTCCCCTGCAAGCTTTTATGGAAGGATGTGATTCCCCATTGACTTTCTCTCTGAAAGCTTCCCAGGCTTCCCCATTGGCTTGTGGGCAGGTTTCAGGGAAGCTCTAAATTGGGATCACATAACCCTAGCAGCATGGTGGCAGCAGTCAAGAACAGTAGTGTTGAAACAGCAAGAACTTTCTAAAATTTCATTCCAACAGAAGCAATGGGTGCCAGCATTCAGTAATTTAGCCATTTACAATACTTTACTTGAAAAGGTTTTGCCCTGTGATGCATTGTTTCACAGTTAAAGCTTAGATACAATTTTTAGTAGTATATAGATACAATCAACTTTACAAATGGAACTTGCATATTTCTTCCTACCTTATCTCTATGTTCCGATATTTGTTGTTGATCTAAATAAACTTCAAGGAGCAGTAATATTTTTGTCTAAGAAACCAGAATGTGTTCAGCATACTGATCAAGACTAATAAAGAAAGTCTACTAGATTTGGCAATTGGAGTTCAGGGAAGTTATGCCTATTCAGAATTTTTTAGATTATAATTCCCATTAATCTCAGATAATGAAGGTATAAACCAGTGATGGGAATTGCATATCAGAACATGAAAAGTCATGAAGGTCATCTGTGTATATATACCAGAGTGTCTTTAATCCTCTGGGAACAATAAGGTTGCGGGAGGGAAAAAAGGAAAACCTGACCTTTACTGCTCGTAGTGTTTGAGCATTGGAGTGTGAGTCTCCTTCCAAGTTGATAACTGTAGAGTTGTCAAAACAGGACTTACATATCAGGATTCCACTACAATACAATGTAAAAACAATCTTAATCATTCCCTCAAAGAATAAGAGTTGATTTCAGATTCCATGGTTGTTAAACTAGATACATCTATGTTAGATTACAAGTAGATTCTCAAATGATTTAATGTTTTTTCCCCTCACATAAACCTTTTATCTAATCAAACAGCAGCATAAACATTTGGACTGAAACCTTCCACATTATCAACTTGTTTCTGATATGCAGGGAGATTTAGAATGATGGTGATATGATGGATCATTCAGTTATGTGAATTTGCACCTGTACAGAACCCTCTGTAAAAGGTGGAGATCAAAGTTTTGCCTTAACTAAAACTTTAAAACTGTCTTGGAAAAAATTAGGAACAAATATGCCTCTAGGGGACATATTAGCCACATTAATTTAGTGCACCTGACATCAATATTTGCCAGGTCTCCATTCTCCTCCTGCTGACTTTTGATGGTAATAGCTGGGGGCATTTTTCACAAGAGTTTTGCACTGCTAGACAAATATAAGAGATAAATGAAGATTTATTCTTGGGCACAATTAATACCTGATTTCATCTGTGCTGGCAGGAAAATGGCAGCGCCAGTGGAAAGCCCTGAAACATTTATTGCAGTAAATCACATCTCCTCCTTTCCGGCATATACCGCATTTGTCACCAATGGTTAGTTTCTGAAAAAATAAAATGCAAAGTAATTTTCTAGCAAAAAATGTTCCTTTTTACATTCTTGAAAATAATTTTGTACTTTACATCCATCTCTTCTATCCAGTGTTTAACAGCTTTATCATAATTGCTTAGACCTCTACTTACATTGCCATTCTTAGCCTTACAGCACACAATAAAATGACAAAACTTAAAAAAATAAATATTTAAACTTTGAAAACCTCAGCAATAATAGGTTGAAACTGCCTGGCCCACTGCCACTGCTAGGACCTTGATCCTAACTAGCTCGAGGTTGACTCAGCCTTCCATCCTTCCAAGGTCAGTAAAATGAGGACCTAGATTGTTGGGGGCATGTAAAGCACTGTGAAGTGATTCTACGTCTAAGTGCCATTGCTATTTGGGATCCAGGATAATGGGGGGGGGGGGGAAAGCAGAGTATAATTTCATGGCAACAATTGAATATTAAACACTCATAACTGCTTGACTGTTTATTACATTTATAATCTATCTCTTATAACAGAAGCTCCAGGAAGCATGCATGTGCTTCCTGAAGCTCTTCCTATTTTCCCCAACAACTTTTTCAGATAAATTACGTTGAGAGACAGTGGCTGGTCCAAAGACATCTAGTGAGCTTTCATGGCTATGCGTGGAATGGAACCTAGGGCTCCCCATTCCTAGCCCAACAGCTTAACCAGTAGTCTAGATTTATTTGATTGAACCTAATTTATATAGGGAAGAGAACAATTTTAGAATTTAAAAACAAGCAAAAACAGAACCCTGGGATCAGGCTACCACAAGTTTTCCAAAATGCTAGAATTACTAGATATCATAAGGTGAACATCAAATTATAGTTTCCTTAATAGGTCTACTGTAGCAATAGCAATAGCACTTAGACTTATATACTGTTTCATAGTGATTTCACAGCTTTCTCTAAGTGGTTTACACAGTCAGCATATTGCCGCCAACAATCTGGGTCCTCATCTTATTCATCTCGGAAGAATGGAAGGCTGAGTCAACCTTGAGCAAGGTGAGATTTGATCTGTCGAACTGCAGCTAGCAGTCAGCTGAAGTAGTCTGCAGTACTGCATTCTAATCACTGCGCCACCTCGGCTTGGCTGTATCTATTTACCTCATCCCATGGATGAAGAAAGAGCAAGGATGTTATCCAAGAATACATAGAATTGTAAGAGTGGCACCCTACAGTCCTTTCAAAAACAATAGAGGAAAGAACCATCACATTAACTTTTTAGTGCTTTCAATTCATTCTCTAGCAATTGCCTGGACTAGTTCCTGTATTTTTGTTGGCAAGATTTTCAGAAGCATTTTGCCATTGCCTACTTCCTAGGGCCGAGAGAGAAACTTGGCTGGCTTTGTGCCTAAGTTGGCACTAGAACTTAGTCTCTCAGTTTCTATCCTGGAGTCTTAATCATTACACCAAACTGGCTCTTGTTTACTCAAATTTGCTTAATAATGAGAAACATTTATTTAAATTAGTTTTAATTAAATTTAAACTGCAACAATTTCAGAGTTCATTTGGGATTTGCCCCATTCTTACTCCTAGCCCACCACTGTTCCCTCTAAGGTGCGCGCCTGCGCGGCCGCGCACGTTGCAAGAAAACCCCGCGCAGGGGTTTTTATCTGCCGCGCAGAGATTTCTTAAGGAAACGTGTGGAAGTCGTTTGCAGGCGGCTACAACTGAATCCGGCAGTGCTGTTGCCTGTTGGAGGAGGAGGAGGCGAACTAGCCTGGCACCACCGCCCACCGCCAGCCCCGCTGCTCTTCCCGCCCCCTTCTCAGCCCCACAGTCCAGCTGTCGCAGCAGAAACTGCTCCGGGTTTCCGCTGCCGCTCCCCGCATTTTCTGGACAGGGTCTTGCAGGAAGGAATCCCCTCTCCAAGGGATCCCCGTCCAGAAAATGTGGGGAGCGGCAGCAGAAACCCGGAGCAGTTTCTGCTGCGACCGCTGGACTGTGGGGCTGAGAAGGGGGCGGGAAGAGCAGCGGGGCTGGCGGTGGGCGGTGGTGGCAGGCTAGTTCGCCTCCTCCTCCTCCAACAGGCAACAGCACTGCCGGATTCAGTTGCAGCCGCCTGCAAAGGACTTCCACACGTTTCCTTAAGAAATCTCTGCGCGGCAGATAAAAACGGTTGCGCGGGATTTTCTTGCAACGTGCGCGGCTGCGCACGCGCGCACCTTAGAGGGAACAGTGCTCCAC